TAAAAATTATTAGATAAATAATAATTTTAATATTTAAAATTTGTATTTTTTTAAAAAAATTTATTAAATAACAACAATGATGTAATAAATAATAATTTTAATATAAAAATGACAATATTTATATATATATAATAAATTTATTTCTAATAAAAAAAAGAGAAAGTTTACCAATAAATTTAAAGACATTAAAAAAAGATATTTTGATATTAAAAAAACAATAGAATCTAATTATAATTATAAGATGAGTGAATTATAAGGTAAATTTTACTTAAAATTTATTTATTATATAATTAGTATTAGACACTTTAACCATTTTAATATTAAAATATTTTGATTTTATCTTTTATAATTTAAAATAAAAATTTATTTTTCTAATAAAAAATTATAAAATTCATATTTTTATCAAAATATTTTCTATCAATAACAATAATTAAAGCAATTTAGTAATGATTTTATTTTTATAAAAATAAAAATATTAAATTTAAATTGTATAATTTGAAAAAAAAAAAAAACCCTCTAACTATGTAATATAAAAAATATATGTTTAAAAAAAAGCTGTCCCTCACGAAGAATAAATTGACGATGGTCGGATAGGGAAAATAACAGGCAGTGGGACCCGCTTTTGGAATTTCCACATCCGCGGCGTAAGTTAGAGGGATGAAATGAGAGTTGCTAAAGTGAAACAGGGGTAGCAGGGTGCGGCCGCGAGGCTTGGCGGGTGCTTCACTGCCAAGTAGTTCCTCGCTTCACAGACGGTTAATGACACGCGGCGGGAATCATCAGCCCCCATATTCGCCTGGTCGCCACTTTGTACTTTGCCGCCAAATCTTGCAAATCAATCCCTAAACTTGTTAAGAAAATGGAAAATTAACCCTCAAACTTAAATCAGTAGAACATCACCCCTCTATGTCTCCACTGGTAGTTTTCACTAAAATTTCGTACATGAGAATCACGCTATTATTATTATATTTATAATTTATAATAAATAATTAAAAACATTCCTGAGCCTACCCACAAACTATTACTTTTTAAGTCCCAGAATAAGTTTTAATTTTATTTTTTTAGATTAAAATAATTAATTATAACAAAATACCTTAAAATATATTTATAGTATTTGTCTTATCTTTTAGAAAACAACTATCACTTTCAAAGATGACTCAACTAAGAGCATGAAAATTTAGTTTAAAGATTTTAAATTTAAATTTTGAATCAAGAAAGGGATTTAAAAAATAAAAAGAAAATTTTGTTATTATGTAACATAGTATTAAATGTATTAATAATTGTAGATGTAAAGAAATTTGA